CTTGTCAACAGGAATCCTAATATAGATGGTTCCCTACTTAGGATAATGATTTTCACCTTTGCAATGAGGCAAAGTAGTACACATTCAGTGGAAACTGAGATGTGAGTACCCATACAATTCTGTTTTTTGCTTTCAGTACAGTATTCAATAAAATATATGAGATATTTAACACCTTACTATAAAATAGGCTTTGTGTTAAATGATTTTTACCCAACTGTGGGCTAATGTAAGCATTCTGAGCATGTTAAAAGTAGGTTAGATTAAGCTATGATATTTGATGGGATGTTTATTGGGATGTAAACCTGTTGGGGTGTGTGGACCTGACCTAGTTTGAAAGTTGACTGGGAAACCATGCTGAGGAAAAATAATTTACACCAGTTTAAAGAGAATGCCTTCACCAGAGTCTAAGAATGCCTGGGGAAAGGCATACATTATCTTAAGTCGGGCATCAGACTGAGACAATGCAGCAATTCTCTGGCTTCTTCAGAAGTCTTTTATTGATTTCTACCAAAAGTGTATATGCAAAATGCAACAATGCCAAAAGATAGAGTTAAAAGAATGCCAAGTCCCCAGGAAGACTGGATAGAGAGAGAGGGAGGCTGGGGAAAAAGGTAGAGGGGGTTGCTAACAAACAGATGATAGTGTAGTTAGAAAGAGGGAGGAGAACTAAGCCAGGTTCTCTAATCTAGCTGCAGGTCAGGAGTTCAAAGGACTTAGCTCTGTTTCAGTATTGCCCCACCTGTGGACTCTGGGGCTCAGGGATACTCAGTCCTGCCCCAGAGCCTTCAGGTTCTTTTCATCTTCCCTGGTATTGATGAGCCCACAAGGATCATGAGTGTGGGTACTTTCCCAAATTTGGGTACTTTCCCCTGGTTACCCCTGGATTGAGGAGGGGTGCCCTGCTGAGAATTCAACCTATCTACCTCCCACATAATCCCATCATAAGTTAAGGAGCATCTGTAGTTATGTCATTAGAATAGCAAAACAGTAACAGAGGTACCATTTAATAATGTCTTGTGAAGTTCCTGAAACATAAGTACTCATCAAATATTACTTTGCCTTTTTTGTTATTTACTTATTTTTCATTCATTTATTAAGTCATTAATGCATTTAGTAAACGTTTATAAAGCATTTCCTGTGTCAGCATGCTGGGACAGTGCTGAAAATAGAAATTAAAACACAGTCATGAACCTGACTGGGCTGATAGACAAGCAGATGATTCTCAGTTGGAGAAATGTGTTCTGAGAGGCTTTTGAAGGATGTATGGGAGGACAGAAGATGGGTTACATACCTTAGGATAGGGAGGAAGAAAATTAGGGAAGTTCAAAACACAGAGTCTGAGAATGCCTGGGGAAAGGCATACTCCCTTTGAGGTGAGAAGGAGATACTGTTTATGCTGTATATTCTTATAAATGCATGATGTTGAGAGTAGAGTTGGGGAAAAGGCATGCTCCATGGCTTGGAGATGGCAGAGATCTTGGCAGGTTCAAGGGTATGAAGGGAATTTAGGGAACCGTGCACAGATGCAGCTAGATATACAGACCTACTGCTTAGGTCAGAGCTGTGGGTATAGATCCGAGAGACAACAGCAGACAAATGTCTTTCTCAGGAAATATCATTCAGCGATCCTCCTTCCCAGACACTGGCATGGAGATAGTGTAGGCTACTGAGGAGAAAAGGACTAAGAGAGAAAATGTATGAAAAGAGAATGATCTGGCTCGGCGCCTGTAGCTCAAGTGGCTAAGGCACTAGCCATACACACCTAAGGTGGCAGGTTCAAATCCACTCTGGGCCTGCCAAAAACAACAATGACGGCTGCAACCAAAAAATAGCCGGGCGTTGTGGCAGGTGCCTGTGGTCACAGCTACTTGGGAGGCTGAGGCAGGCGACTTGCTTGAGCCCAGGAGTTGGAGGTTGCTGTGAGCTGTGATGCCATAGCACTCTACCCAGGGGGATGGCTTGAGGCTCTGTCTCAAAAAAAAAAAAGAAAAGAAAAGAAAAGAAAAGAAAAGAGAATAATCTAATTTTAAGCAGTTTTTAACCATCTACACTCTCTCTTGTCTTCCTAGAAATGACAGGAAGATCAAAGAGAATAGTGGGTGCAAAAGAAGTTTGAAAAGTGAAAGCAATATACTCTGTGTTTGTACAGGTTTTCTTTTCTCTTTTTGTAGGACCTTACCCTATTTCTATCTTCCTGCTGGCTTTCTGTTTCCCAGTTACTCTGAACCTGATCTGATATTTTCTGCCTGGCCACTGGTTGTGTTTCAGAATCTTCCAACCATACTGGACAGTGGACTCTGGGCAATCTTTTTCTGCCATGCAGCAGCCAAAGATCAGAACCTTGGTTTCTAAACACAGGAGGCAACAAGGGCCTGGAGAAAGATCTGGAAGGGAAATAGCAGGGCCTCTACTCTGTCAGGCAGTCCTCCCATTTATATTTATCCTATTTGTTTAAAAAATATGTCTATGCTGTAAAATACATTTAGATAATAATTAGTTTTTCTAATTTTATCTAATAAGAGCTTCAAACAGAAGAACATGATTTATACTAGACTTTAAAATACAGAAATGAGCCCTTGGATCTCATTACTCTATGTAAATCCCGTATTTCTACGAATCTACTTCTCCAGGACAGAACTCTCTAGAATAGATGTTTGTCATTTAAGATCTATCAGTGAGGCTCGGCTTCCGTAGCACAGTGGTTATGGTGTCAGCCACATATACCAAGGGTGGTGGGTTTGAACCCCGCCCAGGTCAGCTAAACAACAATGATAACTCCAACAAAAAATAGTTAGGCATTGTGGCAGGTGCCTATAGTCCCAGTTACTTGGGAGGCTGAGGCAAGAGAATCGCTTAAGCCAAGAGTTTGAGGTTGCTGTGAGTTGTGATGCCAGAGCACTCTTTTGAAGGTGACATAGTGAGAATATGTCTAAAAAAAGAAAAAAAATCTATCAGTGCTATCAGTGAATGAAGGTACAATAAATGGCCACTGCAAACACAACAAAGATGATAACTTGGAAATTTTTTTTTTTTTTTGAGACAGAGCCTCAAGCAGTCCCCCTGGGTAGAGTGCTATGGCATCATAGCTCACAGCAAACTCCAACTCCTGGGCTCAAGCAAGTCTCCTGCCTCTGCCTTCCAAGTAGCTGGGACCACAGGCACCTGCCACAATGCCTGGCTATTTTTTGGTTGCGGCCATCATTGTTGTTTGGTGGGCCCAGGCTGGATTCGAACCTGCCACCTTAAGTGTATGTGGTTGGCGCCTTAGCCACTTGAGCCACAGGTGCCAAGCCAGATAACTTGGCAATTTTATAGACTTCTTACTTTGGAAAAATTTGAAGAACTTTCAATAAATGCTTTTAAAAAAATTGGTTCTGGGGAGGCACCTGTGCCTCAGTGGGTAGGTTGCCAGTCCCATATACCAAGGGTGGTGGGTTCAAACTCAGCCTTGGGCAAATTGCAAAACAACAAAAAAATAGCCAGGTGTTGTGGTGGGTGCCTGTTGTCCCAGCTACTTGGGAAGCTGAGGCAAAAGAATTGCCTAAGCCCAGGAGTTGTAGGTTGCTGTGAGCTGTGTGATGCTACAGCACACTACTGAGGGTGATCGAGTCAGATTCGGTCTCTACAAAAAAAAAAAAAAAAAATTGGTTCTGGCTGGGCACAGTGGCTCATACCTGTAATCCTAGCACTCTGGGAGGTTAAGGTAGGTGGATTGCATGAGGTCAGGAGTTTGAAACCAGCCTGAGCATGAGCAAAACCCCATCATCTCTACTAAAAATAGAAAAATTAGCCTGGTGTTATGGTTTGAGCCTATAGTCCTAGCTACTTGGAAGGCTGAGGCAGGAGCATAGCTCGAACCTAGAAGTTTGAGGTGGCAGTGAGCTAAGATGATGCCACTGCATTCTACCCAAGGTGACGGAGTGAGACTCTGTTTCAAAAAACAATACAAAACAAACAAACAAACAAAAACCCCCAATGGTTCCATGGTAATGACTAAGAGTTTGGGAGGGCAGTGGTTAACTTGGAATGTTAGGAGGAGCAGAGGGATTGAGTAAATTCTCTGAGACACATGGCTCATGCACACATGTTGTGTCTTTCCAAATCAAGAGCAAGGGAGTAAGTAGCATCTTTAGGTATCTCTGAGATCACTTTAGTGAGGAGCATTCAGGAGTAAAAGTGGGGAACTAGAGCCCCTACAGTGTGCATGTGGATCACTTTGTTGTGTGGAAGGTGAGAGTCAGCACCGAATTGTTGGTTTAGGATTTTTCTCAAGTAGCAGATTTGGTTTGTAGATTCTGGGATAGAGTAGGAAGTACATTGGAGAGCTTAAGGCCCAGGATTCCAAACTTTTCTGAACAAAGTCTTGTGAGCCTAGAAGACACTTCGAAATCCTCTCCAATCTTCTCATTTTATAGACTGAGAAACCAGCATCTAAGCAGGTGAATAGATTTACTCAAGGTAATGTACCAAGTGTCACTCCCAAAACTTGAACTCATCTCCTCTTAGTCCAGATTTATTTCTCCAATGTCTTCCCAAGGCATGTTTATGCCTTCTGCCAAGCCAGCCATACCAGGCTCACAGTCACAGCACTCCTCCTCAACCCTGTCCTTTCCTAGGTGCTCTTGCTTTTTGGAAGTCCCCTGATTGATGAGAAGCTCTTAAAAGCCACAGCAGAGGGCCACCAGGTATTGTTATTCTTCAAGGCAGTGAAGGCCCAGGGCTGCAGGCTGGATGGTAGTAAGTTGGGAGGTGGTTATTTAGTCATGGAAAAATCCTCAACAGAGGACTGTCTGAGGTTTGGAATGAGGAGTGCACGTTGATTGGCTGAGGGGAGATGGGTGTGATCAGATTCTTTGTTAGCTTCCCTCAGAAAGTGAAAGAAAAACTCATGAGAACACAAGATCAAGGGGCACACTAAAGTTGGACAACTACAGCAGGGGATTTCCACCACCAGTACTTGCATATAAGGTGGATGCATCGTCATTTTCCTCAGTCTCTGGTTTCTGCTCCCTTGATTGCAGAGATGGCTCCCATTGCTTCCTGCCTCTGTGTAAGTCTGGATTTGACAAAGGGATGGGGAAAAACCTCAGGGATGGAAGTGGGAAGACATTTCAGGGATGAATGAAGAACCATGCTCAGGGAGGCAGGGAGACAAGCAGACAGGCATTGGTAACTGCAAAATGGGAAGGAGGGTTGTTTGAAAGGAAATCAGTTATTTGGCTCCTGAGTCCTCTTTTGAATCAGATCTTGGACTAGCTGTTGTTTGCAATAAATGGAAGGAAGTGCGGGTGAGCTTTGTTCACAACAGGGTTGGTGAGACTTGAAATGATGGAAATATTTTCAGGGTTCTTTTTTTTAAGACTGTTATAGGGGCATACACCTTTAGTTACCTAATTTGCTTTTGTATATTTAAGTCAATGTTATAAGTGTGCTGTTCACCCAGAATATGTATTGCATCAAGTGGGTGTGAATTTACCTCCTGTCTACTTGATTTCCATTGAGTTTTATTCCCATATGTGTGCCTAGTTCCAATCTGAAGCTTCCCTGTCCTCTCAAAGGAGAGCTTCACAAAACTCTTTATCTTAAGTTGTTAATGACCTATTGCCCTTACCTTATTCGATAACCTACATAAAGGGTAATTAACGTATAAGAATGATTCACCAGGCTGGGTGCCTGTGGCTCAAGTGGCTAAGGCGCCAGCCACATATACCTGAGCTTGCAGGTTGGACTCAAGCCCGAACCTGCCAAACAACAATGACGGCTGCAACTAAAAAATAGCCGCGTGTTGTGGCAGGTGCCTGTAGTTCCAGCTACTTGGGAGGCAGAGGCAGGAGAATCGCTTGATCCCAGGAGTTGGAGGTTGCTGTGAGCTGTGATCACGCCTCAGCGCTCTACCCAGGGCGACAGGTGACAGCTTCAGGCTCTGTCTCAAAAAAAAAAAAAAAAAAAGAATGACTCACCAGTGAATAATGTCTGTGTCATCTAGGTGGGGAAAATATTTTTCTTTTCTTTTCTTTTTTCAGACAGTATATCACTTTGTTATTCTTAGTAGAGTGTTGTGGTATTGTAGCTCACAGCAACTTCAAACTCTTGGGGTCAAGCAATTCTCTTGCCTCAGCCTCCCAAGTAGATGGGACTACAGGTACCTGCCCAATGCCTGGCTATTTTTAGAGATGGGGTATCACTCTTGCTCAGGCTGGTCTCAAACTCCTGAGCCCAAGCAATCCATCCACTGTGCCATCCTAGAGTGCTAGGATTACAGGCATGAGCCATCTCACCTGTTCAGGGAAAATATTTTTGAGTGCAGCATGAGCGAGGTCCTCCCATACTTTCAAGTGGCAATACAGGGGTGAGCTTCCCTGTCTTTTAGAATTTTTCTGTTACTGAAGTTAGCTTTAGGTATGGTCCTTGCTTTCCATGAGTGAGTCCCTGATCTAATTTAAAAAGGTAATGAGCTGCATTAGGTGATTATAAAAATATAGGAAACACAGTTAACAAGTACCGCTGAAAATAGCATCACTGTAAGATGTGAATTATTATTATAAAGCAATGAGACATTAAAAAAAAAAGAAACCAGCAGTTCAGAGATTATGTCTCCTAATCAAAGTTTCCTTCTGAATTAGTCATAGAGGGTATTCTGTGGCTGGGAGTATCCTATGAGGCTGCCAAATCTTGGAAATTATTTTATTTTATTTTATTTTTTTGAGACAGAGTCTCACTATGTGGCCCTTGGTAGAATGCTGTGGCGTCACAGGTCACAGCAAGCTCAAACTCTTGGGCTTAAGCGATTCTCTTGCTTCAGACTCCCGAGTAGCTGGGACTAGAGGCATCTGCCACAATGCCTGGCTATTTTTTTTGTTGTTGCAGTTGTCATTGTTGTTTAGCAGGCCTGGGCTGGGCTAGAATCCACCAGCCTCAGTGTATGTGGCTGGCGCCCTACTCACTGAGCTAGGGGCACCGAGATAAATCTTGGAAATTCTTTAGGAGTTGTTTTAGAGTCTAGTGTATACCTTTTGAAGCTTTGTATTTTCTTCTTGACATTTAACAAACTTTTTCTAGATCAGAGAGGCAGATAAGTAAGGTAGGAAAGCATAAATTACATTTTGAAATGGATAAAAGTTGTGATAAAAGGAATGGGATTAATTTTCTTGTTTGTATTATGATATGGGAATTCCAGATGAGAAGTTCCAAGAAAGGGAGGGACAGACTATTGGAAAGGAACTAGAAGACCAGATAGGCGGTAGAAGGGTGGGAAAAATTCTGGTGGGGACCAGGCAGTGTATAGGGTGGCAGGCATTCCAGGCAACTGCCTCTTGACTTTCATCCTCCAGGTGAATGTCTATTCCGAGGAATGGGAATTAATGACCTTCAATGCCAACCAGAATGACAGAGTGAGGAAGATTAATGAACACATCCGATCTAAGACCAAGGTTCCTGTGTGGGACCAGGTCCTTCTGCTGGGATCCAAGACCCTGAAGCCACAGAGAAGTCTATCCTCTTATGGCATTGACAAGGAGAAGACCATCCACCTCACCCTGAAAGTGGTGAAGCCCAGTGATGAGGAGATGCCCTTGTTTCTTGTGGAGCCAGGAGATGCGGGGCAGAGGCACCTCCTCCAGGTGCGAAGGTCCAGCTCAGTGGCCCAGGTGAAAGAGATGATCGAGACTAAGACTGCTCAACCCCCAGAGACCCAGATTGTGACTTGCAATGGGAAGAGACTGGAAACTGGGAAGATCATGGCCGATTATGGTATCAGAAGGGGTGATTTACTCTTCCTGACATTCCATTGTATGTCAGGGTGACCATCCTGAAGATGGGATGCTATCAGCAGCAAAAGAGTTTCTTCTCTTTATTCTATTGTTAACCAATCACATCCCTGATGATTTCTCCAAAGTAATGAGAAACAGATAGAGTAAGATTTGAGGTGGGATAGTGTGGGTAGAATGAAAATATTATTCTAATGCAAATTCTTTGATTCTAATACAATTGATTAAGTGGCAGGATGGTTTATGATGTGTTACTTAGAATAGAAAATAAAATTTTAAGGCACATTAGAGATAGCATTCAA